ACTGTTACCTGAAGCAGTAGTGTCCGTGTCTTCAAGTAACTCATTCAAGAGAAGACTAGACATTCACAGAAGCACACTAGAAAAGAAATAACATAAGCAGTGTGCCCTCTGTCCTTACTACAGAAATCTGTATCTTTTCCTTGCGAATGTCTTCCATGCGCTTTGAATAATCTGGGGATTGTGACTGAAATAGATAGTTCGGACGCGTCTTTATTCTGGTGACAACTTTCCTGAAGAAACTCCACACATTACATAATGTTACCTTTTACCGACCCAATAACTTTTGTTAGGCCAACTATTTCCCAGTTATATCGTCTAACTGTCTCGCTTTGAGTACTAAAACTAAGTTCGTTGAAAAACATACGTTAAATACTTGTTCTCTAAGCATATTATTCTTTCTAAATTTAAGGCATTCGCAGCTGATGAGCTTTAAAATAAGCTGAATTCATTTTTCTGTAAATCTTATTTTTCTCAGTTCAAAATAACTCGATATAATAAGTTTACTGGTTGACATAAACGAGGATTGAGGGGGTGCAAGAACAAGTTTTGTATCTACAACTCAGTGGGAAAGAAATAAAGCTAAGTAAAGTGTAGCGGTCCGTATTTAAAATATCGGTGGACTAGTGAAAAGTTTAAAAGGCATAAAATAAAGCAGGGAACAAACACTATTTAGATATTCGAAATTAATAACTTACATATCAGATGAACTAACTACTTCACCAATAAACAAATGAAGATTCTAATTTAAGGCTTTAGGTACCCTTCCTTAAGTGGACATAGAAGTGATTCATATAGCAATAAAAATTAATGCAATCACCAGTTAACCGAAGTCTCAAGTAATTATGCTTTACTTTTATTGGATGGATAAGCTATTAACAAATAAGCATACTATGTTGGTGAAATAAAGGCTGAACTAAAATGATACTACTGGATGGGGACCTGTTACAAAACAGCTTAAATTAGTAACCACTATTCGTGCTTTTTCTTAAGTTGTTTAATCAAGTTACACGTTAGCCTAAGTAAATACGTCAAATTACTTATGGTTACTACTAGCCCTTCGTCTACTTACGGCAAATTAATACATACATGGTTAAGTCTAAAAGAATATATTCAGTTGTCCTTCATTTACAGACGGTAGTAGACCAGTTTTGGGATAAGTATTAGATAGGATTTAACTGCTAAATATCTGTACTCAGTCGTTAACGCAGTATGTTATATGCTTAAAACTTTTGTTGCTAAACTGGCTAACTCAACATGTAGCTCTTCTAGAGTTACTGCCGGTCCCAAGCGCGGGTAAAGGAGGAGGGTTGGGCAACCCCATACCGTAGAAAAAAAATTGCTAAAAAAAACGCCAACCAGTTTAAACGAATTAAACCATTTGAACTCTGCCCTTCAAGTTGAAGGTAGAATTCTAACAAGAGCAACGCTTTCTACAGGTACATACAAAGTCCGGATAATGCGGGGGACCGGGAGGACCGGTCAAATAGTGATGGAAGTAAGGAGATACAAAGTGGCAGTACCCGGAATCAGAGAAACCCATTAGACCCAAGGCGGACAACAAAACCTAGGTACGGGAGAGATGCTCATGTACTCCGATCACGAAGAGCAAAATGATCCACACACTCGGATAGTTGCTCAAATACTGTCCAGAAAGGCATGAAATGCACTTGTAGGATGAAAATTTAATGGATCCAAGATCATCTAATCATCCTTCAAAACGACGATGAGGGGATTACAATTAATGTTATCCAGTGTTATGCATTCAACAATGATAGAAATGAAGATGATAAAGATCAGTTCTATGCGAGGCTACAATCAATCATAGCTAATTGCTCAAGACAGGACCTCACCATCCTGATGAGAGATCTAAACGCTAAAGTCGGAGTGGACAACACAGGATATGAAGACATAATTAGACGACATGGAATAGGGGAGAGAAATGAAATTGGGGAGAAATTTGCAAATCTATGTGCATTCAAAAAATTGGTTATAGGTGGCACAGTATCATCACACAAACGCATACAAGAAGCTACATGGATCTCACCGGACACCACAGAGAACCAGATAGATCATATCTGTATCAACAAAAAAGTCCGGAGGACAATAGATGTGAGAACCAGGAGAGGAGCTGACATAGCTTCAGATCACAACCTGGTTGTGGCCAAGATGAAACTGCAGCTCAAGAAACATTGGACAACTGGGAGAACAGCACTTCAAAGGTTCAATACAGCATACTAACAAGCTCAATCAACTCAAGATAATTTTCAACAACAGGTTCCAAGCTTTACAGGATCGACTAAAAAAACAAGAAACTATGATGGAGGACAACTGGAATAGGATCAAAGAAGCACTAACTTAAACGTGTCAGGAGGTTCTGGGTCGCAAGAAGCATCATCATAAGGAATGGATCTCTATGGAAACCCTGGACAAGATTCAAGAAAGGAAGAACAAGAAGACAGCAATTAACAACAGTCGAACACGAGCAGAGAAAGGTAAGGCTCAAGCACAGTACGCAGAAGCAAACAAGAAAGTGAGGAAAAGTATTGAAGCCGACAAGCAGAAATACATGGACGAACTAGCAAGGACGGTGGAAAAACCTGCAAGAGAAGGGAATATGAAACAACTATATGATACAACGAAGTAGCAGGGAGATATAGTAAACCAGAGAGACAAATCAAGGACAAAGAAGAAAAGACAATCACGGAGACTCAAGAACAGAGGAAAAGATGGGTAGAATATTTTGAGAAACTGCTGAATAAACCAGCCTCATTGAATCCACAGGACATCGAAGCAACACACACAAACATTCCTATAGATGTTACTTCACTAACGAACGAAGAAATCAAGATGGCCATCAGACAAATCAAGAATGGGAAAGCAACAGGACCTGACAAAATACCAGCTGAAGCACTAAAGTCACACGTAGAAGTAACTGCAAACATGCTTCACCTTCTATTCAAAACGATTTGGGAGGAAGAACAATTACCGACAGACTGGAAAAAGGAAATCTCATCAAGGTGCTGAAAAAAGTAGATCTCAGAAAATGTGAAAACTACAGAAATATCACACTGCTGTAAGTACCATGAAACGTTTTCAACAGTGTTGCTGAACCGGATGAAGGACGCAGTAGGCGCCCAGCTTCGGGATCAACGGGCTGAATTCCCAAAGGATCGGTCGTGCACAGATCAAATTACGATACTACGGATCATCGTTGAACAACTAGTTGAGGGGAACTCGTCACCATACATCAACTTCATTTACTATGAGAAGGCGTTTGACAGTATGGATAGAACATTACGGAAACTTCTTCGACACTATCGAGTTCTTCAGAAGATTGTCAACATCATCATGAATTCATACGACGGACGACAGTGCAAAGTGGTGCAAGGAGGACAACTGACAGACGCATTTCATGTGAAGACCGGAGTCAGATAAGGTTGTTCACTCTCTTCCTTCCTCTTTGTTCTGGTGATAGACTGGATTATCAAGACCTCGACATCTGAGAGTAAACATGAAATACAATGGACAGCTGGGAATCAATTAGACAATTTGGACTACACAGATCACCTGACTCTTTCATCCCATACACACCAAGACAACCAATGTAGCAGCAGCGTCTGCATCTTTACGCATACACAAAGGCAAAAGCAAGATCCCCAAATACAACACGGAAAACAACAACCCAATCACACTTGATGGAGAAACTCTGGAAGAGGTGGAAACATTCACGTACCTGGAAGCATCATTGGTGAATAAGGAGGATCTGATGCAGATGTAAATGCGAGGATTGATAAAGCAAGGACAGCATTCCTACAATCGAAGAACATATGGAACTCAAAACAACTATCAACCAATATCAAAGTGAGAATCTTCAATAAGAATGTCAAAACTGTTCTACTGTACGAAGCTGAAACTTGGAGAACTAATACAACTATGGTCAAGAAAGTACAAGTATTTATAAACAATTGTCTACACAAAATACTTAATGTCCGTTGTTGGTCGTATACCATGATGAACAACCTCCTGTCGAAGAGGACAAACAAGCTCCCATGTGAAGAGGAAATGGGGAAGAGACATTGGAAGTGTATTGGACATACATTGAGGAAATCACCAAACTTCATCACGAGGCAAGAGCTAACTTGTAATCGTGGAGGAAAACAGAAAAAGAGAAGGCTAAAAACACATTACGACGGGAAATAGAAGCAAATATGAAAAGGAAGAATAACAACTGGAATGGATTGTCCAGGACAGGGTTGGATGGAGAATGCTGGTGGGCGATCTATGCTCCTCAACGAGAGCTAAGAGATGTAATTAAGTAGCTAACTCATGGTACGAAGCCTCATCACTTCATTTAACTATACACAACCTGTACATAAAGAGTAACTAGCAGTAAACTTAGCTACCAAATTACTTCAACTTTTTGGCTGTCGTTAGCAAATAGCAGCACAGGTAACCAGTGATTACCTTTATTCCTTCCTGGAAATAAAACCAACTACAAATGGTGCTTTGTTAACTTAATAATGTCTATAATAGCAATGAGGTTCAAGGAAAGATAATAAGTGATAAAACAGTTCATATAAAATTATGATGCACGTCATTTACATAAAAATATACTCGACTTTGAATAGCACTTTTTGTGAGAAGACCAGTGGTAGTATCTGGTTGTCCAAACCGAGGCAGATGAAATAAGGCTCGAAATTGAGACTTAACAGAGGAAAATTAGGTTGTTTATTCACTGAGTCACAGTTCTACAGTACTCTACATGCACATTATACAATCAGGTTTCTACATCACATACTATGGAGACACGGAATTAATACCAAGAATTATCTAGACAGGATCAGGTACTTTGACTTTAAGGTTATTTCAAAAATCACTGACACACTAATTATGACCTAGATGATTGATATAATCAAAACGAGAATGGTAAACCCTTAGTCAAAATGTACAAATACAATTACTATTGGTTATAAAGATGAATAAATCCTTCAGAATAAAAAGGCCAGTCAAAGCGAAACATAATCAGACCAAAAGTATTAATAATACATTATACAAAGCAATTGTATTGGTATTGTAGGATAATACTAAAATAATACCAACTGCGTCATCCATAAGTGTTTTATCATAAAAGAAATATGTGTACATATGCTATATGGATAAGAACCCCGCTTCTCACAGACAAACCATTATTTGTCAGTCTTCTTCCGTGATGAATCTAACCCATTTGATTTTGCTCCGTTTTCCACTACTTTTCCATTATCTAGGTTATCAGATTTATGCGTAGTACGCTTACTTTGATCAACAGGACCAATAGGAACTTTTTTCGACTCTGTATTACCACCTAAACCCTCTTCATTTCTCTCAGTTTCACGATTCGTTAATTTGTTACTAATTAGATCGTGTAAAGCGAGTATTGCTCTCATTATAGCAGCAACATAAATAACAAGCATTTGATCATTAGTATTGACGTGAATTGCACGGACTGTATCATGCAGTTTGAGATCAGGAAGTAGATTGAAAATATCTTGCAACTGGTATATTATACGATGGTTAACAGGAAGCTTGTCAGTAGAAACCAATTGTAAGTATTCACGAATTTCATATAACTGTCGTAATAAACCGGATAATCCATCTAACTGACAACCGATTCTTTGCGATAAGGAACCAAGAGATGTATCCTTAATATCCCTGTAAATGAAAAGTTTAGAATAGAAAACTAGTGTCTTAGTGTCTGAAAAAAAAGAACAATATACATCGACTCAAATCTCATGGGATACCTCATCATAAAGGACGTTTCTAAACCACTGGACTTTTGTAATGCTCGAAAAGTGAAACTGAACATTTTAGTATGATTTGGCATCAAATATTCGTTGCGTATTCATTATTTACATATTTACGACTAACTTTAAAACTCAACTACCAAAAGGTTTTGGGTCAGTTGGTGCTCGTCAGTATGGTTTATCTACAATCTTTAAGGAATTGATATTTCCAAACCTACATCAACTAGTGAAAAAATCAGAAACGTTACTACAAAACCATTCAGTCATTGTATACAGCAATGTTTTCTAAACCCTGAAGTTATGGAATGTTCCATATTTAGTTGAAATGCTGATTGGTAAAAATAAATTACATCGAATCTCATCAGTTGATGAGGTTCTACATAGACTGAAGTGGTTGGGCCACGTATTACCCATGCCCAACCGCTGATTACCACGGCGTGCAACGCTGACTGGTGTTTGAGACAGACAGAAGAAAGTTAGGGGCAGCCAAACCGGAACGTGGCATCAGTCCTTGAAGTCATTAACTTCTGTCCAACTACGAATGACTAAAAAAGGCTTAACGCTATGAAACTGGGATTATTATAGTCTCACCTCAGTAAGTGTTCAACGCCAACCTCTTCAGCTTCTTCAGCATCTACTTCCGATCGAAGATGATCAAAAGATTTCGTTGTTGGAGATCCATCCTTTAAAAAAGCCATAAATAATAAGTTTGTGTAAACAAAAAGTAAGATAGTCTAGTAGTGTACATCAATAGGTTAATTCCTGTAGATACTGCAACATATTTTCTCCTATCGGGCTACACATAGAAAGCTAAATGAACTAATACAGTTAATTCCTGGAACCGAATAACTAAATATTAAGTACATTCGAAAAAGCAGTTCGATAAAGTACACCAAGATTTGAATTTGGTCTGGTCTATTGATTAGAAAACAGTATTAAAAAGTAAAAATAGTGATGATCAAACACAAATCTAAATCCAGGAAGTTGTTTATGGTTTGCTTACAAAAAGTAACATGAAAATTTCATGATTGAACTGTTTTAAAAATAAGAAAATCAAGCAGTTTACGATCAGATCTTGTCTCAGGGCCATTAACCTGCAGCGTAGAGTGTGGTTAATGATATACAAATATATTTCACTCTGCAGAATCTGATAATCTAGCAACTTAACAGCAACAATCGTACAAATAGTGCAATGGGTCCCATAGGACGAATGTTATATGAAAAAACACCGTCTTAATGCCTACTTGAAAATATTCTCATCTAGCTACACGAACCACACTAGTATTTATGGCATTACACGCGATTAGGAGATAAAGTGAATTAGTGCAAAATATATACACACACAGAATATACACACTTGTAAATTTGCTCAAAACTTCATTTGTTTGTATAAAACTGTTAGATAAACAAATAACTCTGCGTCGAAGTCTTCTTGCATTTCCATAGAAAAAGTGGTAAGACAGTATTTTCGAAAACAGAACTACACACAACAATAAAAGCTAGAGATAATCATCGATATTCTATTGAGTAGGGAAAAGTAACTAGTGCGAGATTATCTAAACGTACGGTAACTTACATCGTGAACTTCTTCAACTGCGACATAAGCCTCAGTAGGTAATCCATCAATTTCTTTCCTTCTTACATCAACAACTACCAGCACTGAGTTTGGAGCATATTTCCGGAAAAGTTCGTTAATTTTAATATCGTTCGTACAAAGCTTAGGACCAGAGTGATACCAACCCACAATCTTCTCTCGAGCTATACAAAAATATACTTAATTTACAATGGTTACCGTTAACTTTTTTAAACATAGTAAACATGCTTTCCAAATAATCGTGGTCGAGAAACCAAACATCTGGATCTGTGGTATCTTCTTCGAAAGGAACTAAAACACTATGTTAGGAACGAAAACTTTACCTGCAAAGCTGTTGCTAACATCCAAGATGCTCCCATTTAGTGAACCCAAAAGAACACCTACAACTCTTTTCTGACCACTAGTGACTTTTCCAGATCGACTATAGTGATCAACAACCCCTAGCAATACGAGTGGGTGGACCACGACTTTTTTAATTTTTGTTTGACCAGATGTTTTCTTTTTAACAGACTCATCTGCGCCATTATCCAAAGTCTAGATGCAGTTCAACAAAGCCAGACAATAATTACCATACTGACGGAGCACTACAACTTAATTAGCCGCGAAGATATTTGAAGGACGCAAGGAAGGTTGTGTCCAGGACCCCAATTTCAATATCCAACATCTTTATAGACAAATACATTTATTAGCTTCAGTTACATCGTGTATCTTTAAACAGAAATACTTTTAGTTACAATAGTATTAGTGAACTTGATAGTTATTTGAAGATCGGTTTGTCACGAATTCATGTTTGCTTGTTCTATTTCATTGTTATAGTGGAATCAACACTTAACATGCAACATGAATATAGATCAAGTGACTATACCTTCAAAGTCACAATGGGATTGAATCTTAAGAATACATGGATCCAGAGTAAACAAATAGACTTTTTCGAGCGGAAAGTTTAGCCCTAACGTGTTTTACATTTTTGAAACTTTTGCTGTGTTCTTAAGCAACAAAAGTACCATTTCTGATCAAAAGAATCTATTCTGAGCTATACGTTCGGTAGATTATATTTTGAGTTTCACCTAACTTAATAGTAAACTGTGCTTTTGCCTCAGCTTACTACTCGGCTTTTTTTTCAGTTTTTCACGTAAAGGCTAATTTCAGCTTATCGTAACCTTTTTTGTCCATTTTTGCCCGTTTTAGTGTACTGTGTTTCTTTTAACGGTCTTAGGCTCTCTTCTTGTATTTATGAGACATTTTACATCAATATAGTCATGAAAAATTCATGAAAACGACCTGGATGCCGTTTTGCTGTAGCATCTGATATAAACTGCGACAACTGCAAAGGTTGGTTCCACGAAACATGCACAGGTATCACAGCAGCTGCTCACAACATACTTAGCAAGTTGGATCTTAGGTGGATATGTGTTATGTGCAACACGGATGCTGTAGTTTCGCTGAGTAAAATCACTGTCCTTTTGACAGGTCTGCGGAACAAGTTGTCTGGAAACTCGGAAAATGACAGTCATACAACAGGTAGACAGAGAAGGGCGCACAGTGTAAACAACAGAAATGTATCAACAGTTCTACTATCGATGGAGCATGTGTTGACATGCTGAAACTCAGAACCATCATAACGTCGACGGTAATGGACTCTCTCAGTAAACTTAGGCTCCCAGCACAGGGTCCCTGAATGCAACAGTGGTTTCCAAAAACTCTGTAGGAGCTCGGACCCACGTTAACAGTGTTAACTGTCACTGTCTAAGCCTAACATTCCAAGTATTATACTGAAATCAGCTAGTGACTTCGCCGTATAGTCTACCCTCAAAGATGTCCATCCGGTCATCAAAGAGCCAAGGAATGGAAAACGCGCTTCGACCTTCAAACAACAAGGTTTCGAACCTGGACGCACTGGAAAACCTGGGAAATCAATAACTGTTTGTGAAGACTCCCCCATAATTATGAACCCTAAATACAACCCTGACCCTCCCCTCACTTTGCAGGACAAAAGTGACAGGATGCTCAGTAGAGAATTGAACAAGAATCTTGAACTCCCTAGAATAGAGCCTTTGACGATCACACAGCTCACTCGGGGGAAAAGACTCTGACCATCAAAATCACCCGATGCTACTTCGTGCAACACTCAAGAATGCTTCAGATGTAGAGGACGTCGTGCCAGCTAGTCACTTACTAAAATCCGATGGGAACGTAAGAATACTGCCTGAGCGAAATCTCATCAGGAACATCCTTAGTCTCTAATAATAGGTCAAGTTCCTATTAAAGGATTCCTAGGAAGTCCCTTGTACTAGCTCAGTTAGCAACGAATTCCAGCATTTGACAATTCTTAAGGAGTAGAAGTTGTGTCTACAGTCCGCTACCTCAGTTGCTGTAAGGTCAGAGCATTCTCCGTGATACCAACCTATGAGTTTCCTACACCCAATATCATAGGTGACAGTATTACAGCGTTCAGACCTCTTACACATGTTCTTTTTGAGCATAGTGAAATATGAGGTGTCAGATAGATCATAGTAGAAGTTTACGACCGTGAAAAAGCAAAATGTTGAAAAAGTGTGAAACGGAGAAAAACGGATGGTATACAATATTACGTTATACTAAAACTAGCCTTCACGTGGAAAACTGAAAATCTGAATAGTAAGGTGGTATGAAACCACGGTCAACTACTAACTTAAGTGAAACCATGATAATCAGAAGTATTGTAGTATAAACTAGTAATCCCAGGAATAACGCAATTTAATCAAGAAGTATTAGATGATTTTGTTTTGTACTTGTATTGTATTTGGAATTCAAAATCACAACGTCATCAATACAAAGAAATCATTGAGTCATTTAAACATAACAGAAACTCAAAAACAAAAATATTTACCGAACGCTAAGCTCATGACAGATTCTTTGAATCGAAAGTGGTACTTTTGTTGCGTAAGGATACAGTAGAATTTTGAGAAGTGCTAATCACGTTAGGAAGAAACTTCCCGTTCGTAAAGCGCGTGTCGGTAACGATGATAGTCATGGGACCTATAGCATTAACTTATGGCCAGCCTGTTGCACATCTCCTTTTTTTCGAACCCTTTCCATTGCCCCAGAAAAAAAAATGGGCGTGATGATCCTGAAATCGGATCTGTGAGTAGGCCTTCAAAAACATTTAGATCGGTTCTGACGTGCGTTTTTCATGTTAATTTCGTGAAAAACGTAGAATAATATTTGTTTTGGCTATATCACTACATTAATTTGATCTAACATCCATTGTAATTTGCTGGCCAAAATCGGCCACATTGGCAAAAACTGGAAAAGAGTTGTAATAAAAGATCTTTACTCTTGAAGTCAAGTGAGAGTAAACGATAATTACGTGTCACAAAGAAAGGTAAATACTGCAACCGGTGTTTTCTACTCACTTCTGAAGGGATCTCCAACCCGTTTGTAGTTGAATTAGGTTCTCTTCATTTTAGAGTATACTTATCCTCAAGAAATCCAATACATGTCACGAATCCGCCTAAGATAAATAATTGCCAATTTCCCGTATCTCGATGTTTTGAAATTCCCGGATTTAGAATAACTTTTTTAGCTTTTTGTGATGCTAAGGAGTATTCGAATCATTGTACAAACTAGGAATCCCGGAGATAACGCAACTTGATCAAGATGTCTTAGATGAGCATAAACGTTTAGTATTTGAAATTCAAAGTTAGGCAGTCATCAAGTACAAAAAAATCATTAGTTCATACAAGCATCACACTTTTTTAAGTTCTAAATATTGTCAACGACACATCTGTAAATCTAGCAGTCTGTCAACGATAGCACAAACAAAAAATAGGTTCACCAGAACATTATCTTTCGTGTCTATGATTCTGTATGCAAAAGACTAAATCATAAGTTTTGTCACATCTCAGTTTCCATTATTTTTCTCACACTTATCTAGATATTATTTAAGAATTATCACATTTTACAGTTGACTCAGAAGCGGCTGATTTATTTATTTACTCAACTATTGCTTTACTAATTCTTCAACGTACTGAAGAACTTGGAGATCGTATGCTTTGTGACAGCCTAACAAGGAGGCGCATTGACAACAGGATTTCTAGTGCTTGTTCAACTTCTTTATATCATATTTCTGTGTAGAAGATCTAGGTTTCACGCCACTTTCCTGCAAGGTTTATTCAAAAATACATCCAATCTTTTGTAGCTGTAAAGAATTCCCCAAAATCAATAGCTTTTTAAGTGTTCGACATTGGATGCTGACAACATTGTAGCTGAATTCGTTTGGTCATGCATCCGCACCAGGTCACGTTACGTCTCAGCGTGGAAAACAGCTCCTAAGTTCACTAGCCAGATTATAGCAACCGCTTCTCGATATATATATATATTGATAACGCATCAAATATATTTTTAAAACGCATCTGACCTCTGATTTTAACCCAGTGGGGGACGATTCGAATATAGGTGTTACTGGTTAATAGTTGTCAAACTAGAATACTGGTCATATCTTCACTTTCCTTAGCCTGATGTTACATTTTTAGCCATCATACAAGCAGTGTATTTTGACTTTGAACCAACATTTTCTGACACTAGGATTAATTATTTCATGAAATCAAAGATTATATATCATCGCTTGAAATAATGCATTAATCAGGATTCAGATTTATCATCCTCTATTTTGAGTATATTATTTCATCCATGGACTAATCTCTCAAATTTTGACCATTTACACGCTTGTTCGATAACGAGTAGTTCTAGATAGAGATACAATAAATGCCCTCCGGTCCAGATATAACTTTCTAATCACCTGTATTCAGATGGTTGAGAGAACATGCTAAGCATGCAAAATATCTATTTATTTGTAGCGGTTTTACACAAATCAAGCTCAACATAATAGAGACTCGTATAATGTAAAACTACTACATTAAAGAAGATAAACTAAGTAAAATGTCTGTAAACTATCGACGATGATCTGTGAAGATTAAAACATGCAGTAGTAGTTTGTGCACGGTAAAAAGAGTATAAAGAAACAATAATCTAAATATCTGGTAATTATACAGTAAACATAAAATCAGTAAGATAGTCCTGCAAGTTACTGCTTAATATTCGTCCTATTACATTTTCGAACTCTAGTGTTCTTGCTTAGAAATAATATCAGCCGAGGTAGGCTAGTAGGGGATCTATATATTGTTCACACAAGGTATTTATTGTCATTCATAGGCTCAGTATAAAATATTTTGGTTTTAAAAGGACTACTAACGTATGTACATACTGCCTCTTGTGACTTCTTTACCTAGCTTGGATACTGCTAAATATTGCACAATGTCATTGTTACCTAGGTCAACACGGAAGGCCCGAGTATCAACTAAAATTGTTGGTGAACAGCTTTCGTATATGGTTATTTTATGTGTTTATATGAATCTCCATACAAGTACTTAGCTTTACAGGTAAATACTACTTCTGTATTCTTCATCTTAGATTTTAAATCTCATACTGAGGATAGCTGAAGCTCTTTCGACAGTTCCGAAGGAAATAACATGGAAGGAACTTATGGCTTAACATCCTTAATTGTTTGTTTCCATGGTACCGGCCTGTCGTT